TTTCCCTTCCCTCCCCAGACCTTGTGGAAAAGCCACCCCTGCTGAACTCACTGTGCGGCCAGGCCCAGGGCAGGAAGGGAGCTGGGGGACAAGAGCGCGACGCACCGAAGTCCCTCTAGTCCCCAGCGCCTCGGAATGGGCCATGGGAGGGTGTCCCACAGACAACCCGGGTCAAGGCCGCCTCTGCTGCACTGCCCCCCTCACTTCCCGAAGCCCTGTGGTGCCCAGCTGGGTGGTCAGCCTCTTCTGCACACTCAGTGCAAAGCCTGCAGTGGACGGAGCAGGATGCTTGAGGCCTGTGGATAGACTCGGTCTGGACCAGAGGCCTGGGGTGAGGGGGTTCTCGGGAATGAATTGGAGAGATGGCAGGGAGATAGAATGGCCCGGCCATGGCCCCCGACCCCCCCCCCCCCCGAATGTGGTGGTAAAGGCAGAGGAAGCAGGTGGAAGAGCTCCGGGACAGAGACCCTGCAATCCTTGTCAGGGGTTGAAAGGGTCTAGGGAACCTGCTTGAGAAGGCTGCTGGATCAGAGGGAAAAGTGCAGAGGGCGGAGCCCCGGCTGGAGAGGGCTCCTGCAGCCGGAGAGCAGGGGTGACAGCACAGAGCAGAGCAGGCGCAGCAAGTAAGGAGGAAGGGGAACAAGATTAAGAGGAACAGGGCCCTAGGGGGACTGCCAGGAAGAGAAACTGGGTCTGGGAAGTAGAGGGGTGCCTGCTGCTTTGGGGGATGACAGGTCCATGCCCAGGACCCATGGAGCAGGGTAGGCAGGCAGGTCTGGGGAGGGAGCAAGGAGAGCAGCCGGGTCCTGGTAAAGATGACCATGTGTTTTGAGGACTTAAGAGTTGGCAGGAGGCCCTGAGCAGGGAGAGGGTAGCTGCCTTCTCTTGGGACGCAGGCTGATGCAGACCCCCTGAGGGAGGAGTGGCGTCTTTCCTGAGCTATGTGGAGGCCTCTCAAGGTGGAAGGTAGGACTGAAGGAGGAGGAGGCTTGGAACAAGGGCCACTGAAAGGCCCAAGCCTGAGGACACCAGGCTGGCTGAGCCAGGGGGCCTGTCCAGGGCAGGCTGGCAGAGGGTGGGATGGAAAGCAGCAGGTAGGGGGCTTCTGAGGTTGGTTAGGGCCCCTCACTCAGTCATGCTGGTAACAGTTGGGTGGACTGGAAGGGCAAGTCCACTGCGATCACAAATGCAAACACTTCTTGGAAACAAGTACACTGGCCAAACCAGTTCTGGGCAGTTCCTCCTGGACATGACCCTCACCTCAGCAGTGTCCTCCCAGTACCAGGGCCCCTCCCAGGGAGGCCCCCATTGGCTGCCACCAACAGAGGCCAGCGGAGGGCCATGTGGTGGTAGTGACGCCCAGCAGCCTGTGGCAGCCCTGCTCCCTTCCCAGCTTTAGAGGCACAGACGCCAGGGCTGGAAGCACTCACCCCAGCTGGACTGAATTCATGAACAGGCACCTCAGACTCCATCACCTTCTTCCCCTTCCCCCACAATGGCTCCTTGCCCCCAAATTCCCACCTGCGAACACCACTGGACAATGCCTCCACTCCTGAACGTCTCAGATCTCTACTCACCCCATCTCTATACCAACCAGTGTAGTTTTCCTAATCTCCTATCTGGCTGCCCCCCGCTGCCTGCAGGACACGGACCATCCCAGCCTTGTCTCATTCAGACCCACAGCCCCCTGCATGTGTGCCATCGCGGCGAGATCTGGTGTTGAAGGCAGGGTCCATATCTGTCCCAGACACCACCACACCGCTATCTGAGAATGAGAAGTGCGGGTGGAATGAATGATGGTCCATGTGCCTGGCCTGGTGCCAGGTGAATATCAGGATGAGGAAGTTGTGGTACCCTGGTACCCCCAGACCATCACACAGGCAAACTGTGGGAGCCTAGAGCCCAAGCTGACCGGTTCTGGCCAGGATGGCTTCCTGAAGGAGGTCTACTTTGAAGGATGAGGATTTTATAGGCAGAAATGGGATGAACAACAAGCCAAATGAAGGCATGAATGTAGGGCCTGTGAGCCTGGGCTGCTGAGGCCCATGGGCAGGAGGTGGGGGAAGTGTTGCCACAAATGCCAGGCTGGACCCCAAGGCTGCAGTGGCAGGGCCAGGTTGCTGCCCAGCTTTCAGGATCCCTTACCCCAGCCCATGTTCACAGCGTCAAAGACCTCCCTCTCATCCCCTGAGACCAGAGGTCACTTGTAAAGTTATGGCCAGGCCTTGGTGGCTCTGGGTGAGGAGACAGCACCAAGCTTGGGACATACTGAAGATAAGGGGTGGGGAAAGCATTTCTGGGACTCTCCTTCCCAGAAACCTCTGGGGTCTGCAGAAACTGCTAGCCTGGCCTGTAAGGTGGTGGCAGACAGGATGTGCTGGGTCCTTACTCTGATCCCATGTTCTCATATTCACCCTCAGGAACAGGGGAGAAGACACTGGAGAACATGGCCAGCCTGTCCCATTGGAAGTGACCTGCCAGGGTCACACTGAGCTTGCCACCCTGAAGTGGGGGTGTATGAGGTCACGTTGGGGTTAGGGAGTGGGGGCATGTTTCCTCAGGAGTACCCAGCCCCCAAGAAACAGCAAGGAAGGTCACATGCATAGCCCTGAGGAGCAGGCAGCAACCCCCACATCCCAAAGTACTTAAGGAATCAAAAAGGAGAACCTAAAGCAGCTGATTCCCTGTCCCTCTCCACATGCCTTCCTCCCATTAAGTAGCTCACACTGCCTCTCTGCTCCCCTCCCATCCATGACATGGTGCTAGTCGCAGCAGGCTCTGGGCAAGGCACCAAGTAACAGAGAAGGCTCAGTGGTCTCTGACTGGGAGAGGACAGAGCCCTAGGAGGACAGATCCCGGGGGCGGTGCAGGTTTGCTGGTGCAGAGCCTGCGGCAGGCAGGAGGAGCTTGTTCAGGTGGAAGCTCTGATGTGCAGAGAGGTCCCATCCACTGCACCAGGGAGCCGATGTGCTAAGAAGTTAACTCACCTGGCGAACCTGTAGGAAGTGCAGCTTCCCACTCCCGCCACAAATTGGGATCCAGGAAGTGGGAAGGAGCCCATCCTGACAGGGCTTCCCTCCCCAGGCACTGGAGCCCCCTTCCTGAACCTCAGGATGAGGTTTATTTGGGGCCCAAGTATTGCCAACTGTTCAAAGAGCTACTCCTCAGAGAAGGCACTCCAGCAGACAGGGGACCACCTGTCACCGACTAGGGCGGGTCTCTAGGTGGCACCCTTCTAGCTGGTGAGTGTACTGTGCTCTTGCCTTTGAGACAGGATTTTGGCCTCCCACTGCCAAATCCCACACCAGAGCGGTATTCCCACCAGTAACTTTCACCCCAGAAGGGAACTGGTGCTTCCCAGTGCTGCAGCCTCGGACAGGTTGTGAAAGAAATTGAGGCCACAGCCACAAGAACAATTCATACCTTTTGTAAGATGATTTATTTCATTTATCAACAACATGGGGTCAGAAAAGCCCAGCTGTAGGGGATCCTCTTATCACTAGAACCAGTCTCAAGCAACCTTATGCAACTCTGCTCCTTCTCCAGTCCTTGGGAGCTCTCAATTGCTCTCTTGGCTGCTGGGTAGGTGAGGGGTCCACCCTACCCCTGCCCACAGAAGGGGGCTCAATATACCTCAGCCACCTCACCCGGGTGCCAGTGCCCAGATCCTTTGGGAGGACACCTTCTCAGCCCAGCAGGGAGCAGAACCAGGGAGGCCAAGACAGCTGGTGACGGCACACCCTGTGTGAGCTGAGGAGCAGCAGGCCTGGTAAACCCCTTCAGGGGACCAAGCCTTCCTGAACACTTCCCCCTGCACGGTGATCCACAGCCGGTCTACAGAGCCCCACAAAGACCTGCTGCAAGCTGGCAGATAGCTGATGTGAAGGAAGGGTGGCAAGAGCCAGCCGGCTGGGGTGCAGAAGGAAGGGTCTCAGTGCCCTGGGGTAAAGTGCTCTGGCCTGGGCTGCCGTCGGAGCTCCTGCCACCCTTCCCTTCCTGTTGACACCAGCCCCAGAGCCCTAATCTTCACTGGAGTTGTCAAACTCCTCCCAGTCAGACACACTCATCACCTCCGAGCCGAAGTCCGGGTCGGCCTGGCGGTCAGGGGTCCCATAGGACGGCTCCAGGAGCAGGGAACGGGGCAGGGTGAGCACACAGGCCGCCAGGCCCGAGATGGAGTTGTCCAGCTGGGGCCCCTCCTCCCAGCAGTCCTTCTCCACGTCATAGATGTGCACGTAGCCCATGCGGCTGTTACGGTTGTGTGAGCGGCCACCCAGCACATAGATCCTGTTGTCCAGCACAGCAATGCCAGGCTCACCATGCCCCGCTGGGAGTGGGCAGACAGATGACCACTGCCCGGATGTGCAGCTGTAGCAGGCCACCTGTAAAGCCAAGGCCCGAGTAAAGCTGGGGCACCTGCTGGGACAGGGCTGCCAGCCTGGACTAGGCCAGCTGGGCAGGACAGCACTCTCGGCCAGGCCCTGGACTTGAACCAAGGCTGAGGGACATGTAGGGCTGTGGGCAAACCCTGACCCATGGAGGAAGGGCTTAGGGCCAGTGTTTAAAACACTCTGTCCCATCTCCAGGGCCCTCAGTCAGCTTGTGGCCCCTAGTGTGTGGGTGTCTTCCAGTTGGCATGCTGTTATTTTCCATGGTCTGGTGGTACTGGTTCTCTTCTCTCCATAAGACTGAAGATGATTGAGGTCCCACGTTATATTTTTAGCCCCCGCCCTCAACCCTACCCCCACCGACAGCACCCCACACCAGGTGGAAGTGCAAATAAAATATGGAAATAGCTACTGCTAATGACCCTCAATGTTCTCTTTTCTCAAAATTACCCCAAACAGTAAACAAATACATGGGAAAATGTTCAACCTACTAGTAACTCTAAAAATGCAAAATAGAAGGAACTCTTACCATTTGCAACGGCATGGATGGAGCTGGAGAGCATTATGCTAAGTGAAATAAGCCAGTCAATGAAGGAAAAATACCACATGATCTCACTCATTCATGGATAATAGAGACCATTATAAACTTTTGAACAATAATAGATACAGAGGCAGAGCTGCCTCACACAGATTGTCAAACTGCAGCGGGAAGGCCAGGGAGGGTTGGGGGGCAGGAGGGATGGGGGTAAGAGTTCAACCGAAGGACTTGTATGCATGCATATGAGCATAACCAATGGACATAAGACACTGGGGGGTAGGGGAAGCCAGGGGATTGTCAAGGGTGGGGGAAAAAAAGGACACATATGTAATACCCTTTGTAATACTTTAAGCAATAAAAAAAAAAAAAAGAAAATGTAAAAAAAAAAAAATGCAAAATAGCCTGGTTGACGTGGCTCAGTGGTTGAGAGTTGACCCATGAACCAGGAGGTCAGGGTTTGATTCCCAGTCAGGGCATATGCCCCGGGTTGCAAGCTCGACCCCCAGTGTGGGGTGTGCAGGAGGCAGCCGACCAATGATTCTCTCTCATCATTGATGCTTCTCTTTCTCCCTCTTCCTTCCTCTCTGAAATCAATAAAAATATATTTTTTAAAAATGTAAAATAAATGGTCAGGAAAAATTGTCAACTGTTAACTAGCAACCATAACCAAAACCCATAAAACCAAATGCTGGTGAAGATGTAGTGAAGCTATACTGCTATGCAATTGTCTGACAAGCCAGGAAAAAAGCAATTTGGCAATATGTATTAAGAGCCATACAAATCTTACCTTTTTAACTTAATAATCAGCTTTGGGTCTCCAGCTAGAATATGCAGAATACTGGCCCTCCAAAGGCCATGTCCTAATTCCTAGAACTTGTGTTACTTAATGCAGCAGAAGGGACTTTGCAGATGTGATTACGGGTGTGAACATGGAGAAGGGAGGTTATCCTGGTGGAACCACTTAGTTTCACAAGCCCTTGAAAGTGGAAGGGAAGGTGTGACAGGAGAGATGAGAAGGACAACCTGCCGTTGTTGGCTTTGACGATGAAGTGGCCCCGTGCCAGGGAATGCAGAGGTCTCCAGAAGCCGTAAAGGGCCTTTAGCTGACAGCCCGAAAGGAAACAGGGACCTCAGTCCTACAACCACAAAGAACTGAATCTGCCAAAACCCTGAGCAAACAAGGATATGGAAAATAGGTATGTTGCTTTAAGGTGTGAAATTTGTAGTGCATTGTCATGGCAGCAATAGGAAACAAATACACGAGAGTCCAGTTGGTCTCACCACTGGGGAAGGAGGTTGTTTAAAAAGAGATTGCTGAGCCCACCTCCAGAGCTTCCTCAGCGCATCTTGGGTGGGGCCTGAGAATCTGCATTTCTAGTGCATTCTAATATAATGTTAATGCTACTGGTCTGGGAACCATACTTTGAGAACCACTGCTCTAGCCTAAGGAAATAATCCAATATACTGGAAAAGCTCTATAAAGCAAATATTACTTATTATGTTATTGGAACAGTTAAAACTTAGACCAACCCAAATGATACACTAGTCTGAAAGAATTCTGCACAGCCAGCAAGGTAGGGGTAAGTAGTGGCTATGGAGATCAAACAGTAACTGGAAGACATCCTCGATGAACTTCAGCCAGAAGTAGAATGGGAGGTTCTTTAACTATAATTGGGTGTAAACCATGCATAGGTAGAAGGACAAAAAATAGTGGCATGGGGCTGGATTATGCGTGTTTTTCTTCACCCTTCTCCATTATTTAAAGGTTCTGCAAAGTGGTTATATTAACTTTACAATTAAGGTTTTTAATAATAATAAAAATAAGTGAAACTATTCCATATGATTATAATGGCAGGCACATGTCATTAGACATTTGTCCAAACACACAGAATGTACACCACCAAGAGTGAGCCCTGATGTAAACTGTGGATTCTGGATGATAATGATGGTCACCGTGGGTTCATCAACTGTAACAAATGTCCCACTCTTGTAGGGGATGTCGACAGTGTGTGTGTGTGTGGGAATGGGGCTAATATGGAAAATCTCTGTACTTTCTGTTAATTAAAAAAAAATTTTTTAGAGTAGTTTTAGGTTTATAACAAAATTAAGAAGGTATAGAGATTTTCCGTATATGCCCTGCTCCCACACATGCACAGCTTCCCTCAATATCAACAACCCCTACATGGGACACATTTGTTACAACTGATGAATCTATACTGACATATAATCACCCAAAATCCATAGTTAGGGCTCACTCTTTTTTTTTTTTTAATATATTTTATTGATGTCTTACAGAGAGGAAGAAAGAGGGATAGAGAGTTAGAAACATTGATGAGAGAGAAACATTGATCAGCTGCCTCCTGCACACTCCCTACTGGGTATGTGCCTGCAACCAAGGTACATGCCCTTGACCGGAATCGAACCTGGGACCCTTGAGTCTGCAGGCCGACGCTCTATCCATTGAGCCAAACCGGTTAGGGCAGGGCTCACTCTTGGTGGTGTACATTCTATGGGTCTGGACA